CAACACAGTTTCCAACGATATCTCGATTGCATTGTTTGTGGTTTAACCCGTCAGTTACTACACTATGCTTGTGGAAATTTCAATATGTAGCAAAAAAAAATCGCCCTAAATAGGGTTAAAACATAGAGAAGGTATCAAAATAGGAGTTCCATTTTTTATCCATATTTGGTAATGTATATGCTCATGATTGGTATTGTATATGCAATTTTAATTTCTATTTCGAGAATAAAAACATTAAACTTCTGTTTTGATATATTTTTCAATGTTTTATCCTTACTTTAGTCTTTTTTCCCACATGTATTTTACGTTTTTTATGAAATATTTGCACTAAATAGCACTAAAACTTAAGTCATTTACCTAAATAGCATTTAAACTGTTGTATTTCTTAAATAACACTTAATAATGTCCATAATGTCTAGTGATGGCGAACATTTACTTGAATAATGACTAATGGATAATGACCAAAAATGCTACATTGAAAAAAAATAACACATGTGATGCTATTTAGGGAAAGTGATTATGTTTTAGTGTTATTTAAGTAAATTCCCTATTTTTATTTCAAACTTTTCTTTAGCAAAAAAGCGTATATGTTTTCCATGCAAAATCGATTGTTTAAGGCAAACGGCGATGATTTTTTGTCCATTTTGGCTTTGTTTGGTAATAGCTTTTTCGATTAGCGTTAGCATTTTAGATATAATTTTAATGGTGCAGATTAATTCTGAAAACGCTAAATGCTACCGTCGGATAGCTTTTTCAAAACGTTAACGCTAATCTTTAACGCTGATGCCAAACGGGGCCTTTAATAATTTGCCGAATAAGTGATGGTACCCCTAACACCTCTTGGCACCTTAATTTTACAAAATGTTTTCTTTTGTGTGCGCGGAAATTACGGAATGCTTTTACATGCAAAAGGAAATACTCCCTCCGTTTCACAAAACCCTTCTTCTTTCGTTTTTTTTGCTTTCCACAAAACACTTTCACTTTCTATTAAAAAACCACTTTTACACATACTTTTTCATACCCTACCTATCACATCATACTTTTACACTAATAATCAAACAATCACATCTTATTTTTTCCCATCACATCAAGGGCAAAATTAGAAAGTCAACCCAAATTACATTTTCCTTTTTTTTCTCCAAAATCAAAATCAGAAGAGTTTTGTGGAACGGAGGGAGTATTCAATAACGTACGCCGTGGACAATTGGACAAAGTAATTCTTCAAAGTAATACCGTCCAGCCTTAATTTTCGATCCTTTTCACCTTTTTCATTTCTTTTCATACCTTTTGACCTTTGTAAATCCTCCCTCCTCCCAAAAGAACAATCTTCGGTAATGTTTGATCGGAATTATTTTTTTTTAAATTTGCATATGCATTTTCACTATTCATGTGATATAATAAATCAGTTATGTCTCTACTTATTTGTACAACTTTTGATATAGTTTTTAAATATATACGAAGTAAGTTATTTTGATTTCTACACCAACTTGTAAATAAAGTTGATAAAAAATAGATAAAATTTTGGACGGGAAAAAGACTAAAATAAAGGTAAAAACATTGAAAATATACAAAAATAAAATTTTCCTATTTTTTTGAAATAGGAGTTAAAATGCATATAGAGTGTCAATCATGATCATATACATTACCAAAATACGTACTCCGTATATTTTTATTTTGGTGATAAAAATATGGAGTTCCTATATTAGTTTTTTTCTATACTTTACTTCTATTTAGGATCATAATTTCTTATTTTTGATATTTTTTACCATTAGTAACTTTATTATAATGTAGTATCTGTTCATACATTCTCAACATATTACGCACGTAGAGTTATTATTCTCATTAGGAATCGAACATGTGACCTCCCATATGGGAGATTTATCATCATGATGCTCGACTATAAAATCTTAATTTTTATTTTAGACATTATTCGATGGGGATAAATACTTTGGGACAAAAAAGTACTTTAATTATGATGAATATACTACGTATGATATACGGACTGAAGGAATCTTTTCTTTAGATGACAGAACGAACAGTGTAACGGAAGCAGGTGCCTGGGCAAGTTATAAGCTACACGTTTAGACATTAGACATCTATACTTACTCTACTTAAAAGCAGGGGAAATCTTGCCCTATTTTTTCCCGCCCAAACGCCGGTGCATATTGACCATAGATTATTGGTACAACTTGATCAACGGCCGTGAATTATGTATTGAGAAAGGCAGGAAACATAACAATTAGTTCCTTCCTTTTAAGGAGATCCCTTCCTCAATTAACTGAATTAAATACTCTATTTATTAATGTTCTTAAATAAAATTATAAAACCAGATATAACATATAAGCCATTTTTACTAAACTTGTGATGATGGCGATTAAGGGTGTGTATTAAGGTTTTGCTTTTTTTAATTATATTTATAGATGGATTTCAAGATTTTTTTGTGTATTGCAATTCTCAAATCGTACTGGATGCCCATTTCTACAGAGTATTAAAACTTTAAAAAGATTCTCTGTACTTTTTGGCGTTTAATTTTTATTGGAAGTGGAGTATAAAGGAAGCAAATAAGAGATGATATTTATACGGAATATAAAGGAAACAAATGGATTTTGAATTAATTGTACCAATTTAATTGCAAAAATAATTCATTCACTTTTGAAAAACTTTTGTATGTAGTACAAAAACATGCATTGAATCTTCAAAAAAATCTGTTCTAGGAAAAATAAATGCTTATCCGATGATTCATTCCAAAAATTTAATATTGCTTTTAATGAAACAACATTTTAAAAGATTTGAAATTGTTGTTACAATTTTTTACGTTTAGGGGAATAATTAGATTGAATTATTGCAAAAAAAATGTGCTACTATTTTGTGTTGTATTATAATATTTTCTTTAAAACAAAACTAAATACTCTTTAATGACTCACGACACAATTTTATTCTCAAAATGGTATTACAAATTAATTTTCTGATAATCCATTACAATTTTTTTCTTGAAACGAAACGACCAAAGAAGTTGAGAGCCTATATGTTTTTAAAAGACTGACACAAATCTTTAAAAAGAGTGCATTGTTATATTTTCTGAAACATTATTTAACATTTAAAAACTTAAAAAAATTAAAAAGAAAATTTGTTTCAAGTAATCCCACTTTTCTTTTTTTGATGCAAAATAAGCTCTTTTTCAAAAAAAAAACTTTAATCCACTGTTACGTCTCTAACGATGATCCAAAACTCGCACACATGCAAAAAAATAAAATTTTTACACGTAATTTTGAAAAGTTAGATTATTTTTGGAAATCGTGTCATTCTGAGATTATTTCAGATTATTTTCCCTTAAATTTTTTAATACAACATATCTGTTCAAATTGGTATTTTGTAATCTAATTGATGTTCATACAATATTTTGAATTTAATGCAAATGTTCTAAACTTAATTTTTTAAAAATACATTTCTATCTGTATAAGTGGACCGATACATTTTTTACTTCATTATTAATTAAGTTTTTAAAATAAAAATAATCTCATCAGCATTTGAACAAGAAAAGAGGTAAGAAATTTTTTTAAGGCAAGAAGTTCTAGAAGTTGAATAAAAAAGGAATAGAACTATGGATTATAAAGGAAGCAAATAAGAGATGGTATTTATACGGAGTATAAAGGAAACAAATGGATTTTGAATTAATTGTACCAATATAATTGCAAAAATAATTCATTCACTTTTGAAAAACTTTTGTATGTAGTACAAAACATGCATTAAATCTTAAAAAAATCTATTCTAGGAAAAATAAATTCTTATCCGATGATTCATTCCAAAAATTTAATTTTTTTAATGAAACAACATTTTAAAATATTTGAAATTGGTGTTACAATTTTTAACGTTCTGCGGAATAATTAGATTGAATTATTGGGAAAAAATGTGCTACTATTTTGTTTTGTATTAAAATATTTTCTTTAAAACAAAACTAAATACTCTTTAGTGACTCACGACGTACACAATTTTATTCTCAAAATGGTATTACAAATTAATTTTCCGATAATCCATTACAATTTTTTTTCTTGAAACGAAACGACCAAAGAAGTTGGGAGCCTATATGTTTTTAAAAGACTGACACAAATCTTCAAAAAGAGTGTAATGCTATATTTTCTAAAACATTATTTAACATTTAAAAACTTTTAAAAAACATTAAAAAGAAAATTTGTTTCAAGTAATCCCACTTTTCATTTTTTGACGCAAAATAAGCTCTTTTTCAAAAAAAATCTTTAATCCACTATTACATCTCTAATGATGATCCAAAACGCGCACACATGCCAAAAAAATAAGATTTTTACACGTAATATTGAAAAGTTAGATATTTTTGGAAATTGTGTCATTCTGAGATTATTTCAGATTATTTTCCCTTAAATTTTTTAATACAATGTATTTGTTCAAATTGGTATTTTGTAATCTAATTGATGTTCATATAATATTTTGAATTTAATGCAAATGTTTTAAATTTAATTTTTTTAAAATACATTTCTATTTGTATAAGTGGACCGATACATTTTTTACGTCATTATTAATTAAGTTTTTTAAATTTATTTCTCAAAAAAAATTATTAAATAATTATATGTATTTCAATCCACTTTCACGAGTGGATTGAAATTTCTTTATTTTTTACTCCGTATAATTTTGATTTAATAAACCATGTTTTTGTTGATTCTGCCATTTTTCAATATCAACACAATTATATAATTTCATATTGAATTTTTTGACCGTGCAACGCACGGGTGTTATACTAGTTGTAACTAACTGGACTTAAAAATTTGAAATTACAAAGTTGAGACTTAAGAGTCAAAACATGTCTGAAAATTAATCTAAATTTTGTGAATGGATAAAAAAAGAAACTGAGATTTTTGAACCCATGGAATGACCCCATATCGAATTTCCGGATTTTGCTCCAGAATATATAAATACCCACAAAATTTTAAGGAAAAAAAAACTCAATCTGTCCACCATAGATCTTCCCATCACAGAGTCAAACTTTACTCACTTTGTTTGTTTATTTTACTACTCATTTCATAAAATAAAATAATGTTGTCACCTCTTGTTTTGTAGAACTTTTTATGTACTTTTTTACTATATAAATTTTATTTTTAAATTTTATTCTTACAATCAAATAAATTGAATTGAAAACAAAGTCGGTCAAATCTCGTAACGCGCAATGAGAAGATCTTTGATGGACGGAGGGAGTACCTAATTTGAAGTCTTTCCTTGTTCAAGATGGAATGTTGATGCGCGAGACCCTATTAATTCGATGAAGATGGAAATCCTTGAAAAAATCTTGGAAATTGAGGAATTCTCGCGATGAAGATGGAAAGGGGAGAAAGGAATCTTCCGCTGGAAATTGAGACGACGAAGAGAATGACGCACGAGAATTCCTTTTTCTTCTTCCGCTTGGAAAACGCACGGGAGAATGACGCGTGGCTGCTGATTTGTCAATAAAATAAATTCTCTTTAAGTACACATGGAGTATATGATTTTTCTATGCACAATTTAGATTCATCTTTACAAAACTACCAAAAGATTCATAATAGTCTCAAGATACCAAACACTCAAAGAATTGAACAATGAGTATGATCCAATATAAACATGTACGAAAATATTATAAGTAGTTTATAAGACTACTTCAAAGCTAATTTTTGGAATTCTTGATAATTTAACCTGGACTTGTTGAACTGGTGGAACATTATGGCAAATAATATGGGATTGCATATGCTCCAGCCCTAAGCACAAATGCTCTATCCTGCAAAATAATAAGGAAAAATAAAAAATTATAAACTACTCAAAGATTAGAAAGTATAAGGAAAATGTGTTTCTAAAGCAAACTCAAACTATCAAACCATTAAAACCCTTTGAAGTAAGTCACTGAACCAATCAGTTGAAAGATAGTTCCATAACACAATTACCATAACACGATTTTATACAATTACAATGGGAAAAAAATAGTTAAATTGGTTCAACAATGAAAAGATATTCATTTGTTAAAAGAAACTCAAAACACATAGATCATTGGTTCAATAAATAGACTAAATTAAATATGCAGGTCAATCATTCCTCAATTGGTAAGACAACTTGTCCTAAATCGCAAAGGAAACATCCAATGGCATCAATGAAATTGGCCAGGAAAATAATATTCAAAATTAAAGTGAATTTAACAAAAAATAATAGTGTGAATTTCATTTTTTGGTTCGCTAATTAAACTTACCAATTCGAGAGCCGCTACATCGCCAATTACCTGTATAGATTACTCCAACGAAATTGTTGTTTGTAGAAGGAAAGAGAGAAATTGTACGTCAGTCTATCGATGACATCAATTGGAATCGAAGATCGTAATTGGCGAAGAAGCAATCGGATACCTTTGGCGATGAAGATCCTGACTGGCGAAGAGGAGGGCTGCGCGAGGTTTGAACTGAAGTGGTAGAAGTGAAAAAAAAAACCCTAGAGAATTGCCGTAGAAGAGGGCTGCGTGAAAACCAAAGTCTCCGAAGAAGTGAAAAAAACCCAGAGAATGACGCGTGTACACATTACGTGTCAAAAGAACACAACCTTAAAAAAATGCCACATGTCAAAAGGATGCCGGCGAAGTCCATTTGCAGATTCAAGGCCGTATCCAAGGAGTGGCTGCGCATGATCTCTGGCGCAGATTTCTTGAGGCAGTTCCTCTCTCTCCCCACTCGCCCTTACTGGGCTCTGGTACAATAAGACATTTCTGTTCAAATCTGTTGGCCCGGTGCCCCTCTTCGCACCCATCTCTCTCTTTTTGAGCCTCCAACTGTGAGCACACTCTCTATCTCTTCTCATTTTTTGGATGAAAAACTGGCAAATAGCAGTCATATATATATATATATATATATGAAGATAATGGTGTGATAGGTTCTAGTGGGGGTTTATTTTATTTACCGTGAAAAGAATAAGGAGGGGGAAAGTAATGAAGAACCTATCAATTGAAACATTGTCTTACAGTGTGCAATCCAATTACCCAGGAGTGCGTTGTAATTCCCGAATCGATATTAGACATTGTTGATATTCTTGTACTTGGACTCATTACGAACTCTCATGATGGCGTCATCATCAAATTTGTGGTGGCCGAATTCAAGAAGAGGTCTAAATGTATTTATTTTCTTTCCTATTCATCCCAATTGTGTGAATGGGACTGCCTATTTGGGGAGAATATGTCGGTTTGGTAAGATGTTTAGAATGTAGCAGGCACCTTGAGTTTCGAGGGCCATTTTCTATGGTATGATTACTGCCCTGATTTGCTTGGATGACCCTTCATCGATGAGACGATAGTTTAAACTCGCTTCATCTCTTTGTCGGGGTAACTTAATCACGCCCGGGTGAACACGAGAATTTATACAAAGAGAGATGTGTTGCTGTCAATTGTGGCCATGTTTAGCTCCTTGATCTGTTTTGTAGCAAGTTCTTGACCCTTTGGAGGCTCAAGGTTATGTCGAGGGAGTGAGGAATAAAGTTTGTATGGTTGTTTAAAGGAAGTTATTAAATTTCTTCACTTTTGTTTGTTTTTAATGCAAATGTCAGTTGCTTCAATGGAGAGAGCCTGTGGTATGGAATATTTTAAGAGATACTCCCTTCGTCCTATAATGATCTTCCCAGAGCACTATTCCAACTTCACGGCAATTTATATTTATTTGTATTTTTTTATGGCCTATATGATAAAATAAAGTGTTCTTGTCACCACTTGTTTTGTTAAACTTTTGGTGTAGTTTTTAAATATGTATGTTTTATTTTTTATTTCTATACCAATATTTAAATAAAATAGATTGAAAAAACTTGGGATTTTTCTTCGTTTTGCGAACCGGGAAGATCATTATAGGACGGAGGGAGTATGATTCTTCATACATAGAAGCTAAAATTAATAGTTCAAACCACAAATGTAATCTACCCCTCTTGTCCATTTGGCATATAAAACATAATAGCTGAATAGGTTAGTCCGCGAAATGTTATTCTTAGTACCTTGGATCAAACTTAAAAATACTACTCAAAACTACACTTCAAAGGCTTTAAGCTAAGTCATCATAAACCTCTTTATTTGCGTCCTATTTCTTCTTCATCTATCGCTGAATCTCTTACATGTGCATTTGCCAATTCTAAAATTAATTCTCACTTAACATTGTAAAGAATTTAAAAAAAACATAATTATGCCAACTACTATACTATTAGAACTCAATGATTTCAATAAGTCTCTTCTCGTTGAAATATTCCTTACCACTGTTCTTTTCATTGAAGTAACTGATATTTGCATAGAAAATAGTATCTAAGTGCTTTAAACATTGCCAGTTGTGCATCTAAAGGATGTACATATCGAACCAACTAATGTAAAACATGAGCCAAGTAGGTCTCGTCCTTCCAGACATCCTCTAGACATGCCATGCAAACTTTATTCCAGACTCCCTCGACATAACTTTCGAGCCTTCAAATGTCAACAACTTGCTACGAGACACATCAAGGAGCTAGACGTGGCCACAGGCCCACAACTAACAACAACACATCTCTCTTTCTATAAATCATTAAATCCTTGTGTTCACTTGTGGCATGTTTAAGCTCCCTCGACAAAGAGATGAAGGGGTCATCCAAGCAAATCAAACATAGAAGGTGGCCCTCGAAACTCAAGGTGCCCGCTACATTCTGAAAATCTAGTCACAACAATAGATTCTCCCCGAATTTGTAGTCCCATTTGTACGATTGGGATGAATAAGAAAGAAAATAAACACAACCGGACCTCCTCTTGACTTTGACAACCTCAAATTTGGTGATGACACTGTCATGAGAGTCTGTAACGAGACCAAGAGCAAGAATGTCATCAATGCCTAATATCGGTTCGGGAATTTCAACCCATTCCTGGGTAATTGGATTGCACAATGTAAGATCATGTTTCAACGCAGGTTCAGCGATAGGTTCTTCATTACTTTCCCCCTCCCGTAGTCTTTTCACGACAAATAAAAGAAGCCCCACTAAAAGCTATCACACAATTATCTAAATTTTTGGCAAGTCAAGCAATCAAAGGAGCCTGAACCCCAGTGCGGTTCTTTGCTTTTCACCCAAACAAGAAAGATGTTATGTTCTGAGAATCAGACAGAAGCATTCTGATGTTGGAATTAATTGCCCAACTTCCACAGTGCGGAACAGTTTGCGTCCGTTTCTCTCATGTCTTTCCACTTCTGCATCCATGGTGGCCAACTCCAGTTCCTTCCCTTCTGCCCAATGTCCTCCCGTAGTAAACCAGAAATTTAAAATTCATTTTCTTACCTGAGGATTTGGCGTGTTTCTACTGGTGTGAATATGTTTATCTATTATTGCAATTGTTTTCTTAATCTCTTTTGCTCTTCAGTTTCTACTAAGGAAAATGCTTTTAACTTTTAAAAAACTTAAAACATGAGTGTTGTGGTTCATCCAGTTAGACCAAGTGTTTTGTCCATTTCATAATAAATGAGTATGCAGAGGTTATATATCTCAGTTTGAGTATTCTTGTGTCTCTATTAATCCATGCCACTGGGGTAATGTTTTTGTTGTTGTATGTCTGCTTCGTAAACGATTTTTGTAATATTTCCATTTAGTTACATGCTCGGAAATTACAGATTTTGTACTGGTGTTTACAAGGGTTTCAAGTTATATACTCCGTAGAAGAAAAACTAAATCAAAGTACTTTACAATATGAATGATTTGCTGATAGAGTGATACACATAACATGATCTGCTTATGCCAGACTTATAGAAGACAAATTTACAAAAAGGATTTACCCATCACACCTTAAACAACAAACATATCGAAAATGCTGTATAATGCTATTTTTAATGCAATTGCCCGACCTGTTTTCCCTTTTCTAGTATGCTAAAATGTATAAAGCTCTATGCTCTTTTGGATCTCTAGTATCACTCTCATCGTCTCCGCCTCTCTTTCTTAATGCACAGATGAATGCAAGCGTCTATAATCACCAATGGCCTGCAGGGAACTCACCAATGGCATTTCCACTGCCAGTTAAACTTTGAACTCCAATTGCTCTCAATTAGTATATTAGCATAATGAAATACAACTTTGAAAGTTCTCAATACGATAAATCCAATAAATTCATTTTTATGTTAAAATATATTACAGTTTTTTATTAATTGAAACTCAAAGTTTTTCCAGTTTGACTCGAAAAAGTCAAACTGGACAAATACACTGGGACGGAGGGAGTAGAAATCATACACTTTCAAGGTAAGGAATGGACTAATTAGTATCACTGAATCAAAATGGCAGAAATTATGATTCATCACTCTATTAAAGGCTTTTTTTCTCTATGGTTATTTGACAGGATTGAAATAGGGAAGTTTAACAACTGTTCTTTCACTAAATGTGACTCCGTCACATCTTCTTGACGTTTTGTTTCTTCTCTATGGTTCAACTGATATTCTTTCTTCTCTGAATTCTATAATGCTGATCCAAAAGTATATTGCATTGCCACTTTGCTAATTCTTATTGTTTTGTTTTTTAAATTAAATAATTAACAAGTACTTCACTCGTGCGATGTGCACAATTAATTAACTTTTCAATTAATTTGGAAAATTTGGGGTCTATATAAAGTATGAGTGTGTACCTCACACATTTTGGAATAATAATAATACTAATAATAATAATAATAATAACACTGATAATAACAATAATAATAGTAGTGGCAATAATAATAATAGAGTTTATTGCACCATGATCTCCTTTGGTGTGGTAAATAGACACTATTACCCTTTATGATTTCAAAACTTACATTGTTGCCTTCATAGGTCTGATATTGCTACGCTAATGTTTCTTTAGACAAAAATATTCCTCAAATATTATGTAAATAGCTCCATTGCTCCCTATGGTTTTGGAATTTGGTACAAACATCCCCTCTTTTCCTTATTTTGTTTTTCTTTTTTCATAAATGTTTTTAATTTCTTTTTTAAAATTTCTTTTTTCTAATGTTTTAATAATTGAATTTTTTTGTGTTTGCAATAAAAATCAATTAAATAAGAATTAATGTATACTTCATTTATCTTAAAAAATATTTTCATTTTTATCTAAAAGATGTCTTTACTGGTTCATTTTCATGATATGAAAATTAATGAAATATTCTCTCTTTTACTAAAACTCATTTCTCATTTTCTACTCATTAATTTTATACCTTTTATTTTATTTTAATCAAAATAAAAATAAAATAAAAAAGATAGAAAAAATAATGAAAA